TCTCCTTACACATAACTGTTGTTGCGTATCTCGAGTACTTCGCTAACTTTATCGACTATTTAGTCAAACTTAATATTTCAATGTATGTTTGTATTTTCCATTAAGATGGTGTGTTCGAGATGGTATTTTGTGTTACACAGTGGTTCTGAAGGGAAGAAGATTTATGACTTTGCTTCTAAAGCTTTCCTCTGGTTCATGACAATCAGCCGGTGACGAAAAATGAATTATGATTCTTGGAAGCTTAGTCAGGCACTATCCGGCTGTCCTAAAATCTCAATTTACGAAAGTGCATTTCAAACATATTATTTTCATTGTTTCTACAGCCATTTCAATTGCCAATGGTCCGTAAAGTACATTACATTCCGTAAAATAATATATTTTCAATACCATTTTACAAACACACAAATAACAATTTAAAAATGTTAATTATCTTCGCTAAGAAGCTTAAAAAATTTAGACAATTTCGGGGATACGAGTATGTCCAAAATTAACGTGAAATTGGGAAAATTTCAAAACTTTGATTCCGAAAACTTTTTCCTTTCGTTCGCCTACTCTGAAATTTAGCAGATATTATTTCCACGCCGGATATCATAATTTCTAGAGTTGGAAAATTGAAAAACAGATCGAAAGTTAAAAAACAGGAACGATCCTAACGCATCTGTATCGTGGCGCAGTGTTTCCAGGTAGGAAAAGAAAATGTGTAGTAGAAACTCTCCTCTCCCTATTTCTCTCAGTTCCGCGTGACAGTCACCGGAAACACGGTGGATCCGTGGCTAGCTACACGAGAACTTCGACACGGAAACAAGAACGGAGAGGTCGAGAGAAAAATAAAACGACGAATATAAAGCACGATTTTCGCAATGGCGTCACTCAAATATGGCTATTTTATGAAGTCTGCCGTCACTCTGTTAGCAATTTTTTTCCTCGTCATAGAGCAACACGCCTCTTTACGCGCCTCGTGCACTTACACGCTTTACGATTTGTCGTTTCGCGACAGTGGTTGAATTAATAGCAGAGCCATCACCTGATACAGAGACGCGCCTACGTAGAAGAGAAATCGGTCGCTGGCTTGCTCACATTGTATCTTATCGCTGCTCTTTAGGATTTCTATAAGTACTGCACCGGAAGAAACTATTTCATGACAAGGTTTAACACCCGACGCCGGTATCGCACGCGACGATAACGTTTTACGGTCGCTGTTGCGTGCAGACAGGATTTACTCGTGCGTCGTAAAGACGATCATCCGAGTTCTTTGCTTTCCTAGTAACATTGACGCGCGTTCTTTTGGTGGTTTTCCTATTCCACTCTTTATATATTTTTATATATCGAAAATATCTTTTTAATTGGATACGTTAATAAGGATCTCTCACAACCAATTTTTAAGTTGAAGTTAAATGTCGTTGGATTACTTTCTAAAATTCTAGATCGAAGCGAAAGGATTGAAGGTAGGTTCTTAAACAATTCTTTCCACACATTATAGTTACGAACAATAATTTTATTCATTTTCTCATTTTTGTGTAAGATGTATTAAACGATACGGTATTGAAATGATAGAACAAATAAAATCATACTAATATTTACATATATGTGATGGTGTGACGTCAGGGAAGGACGTGGCGTGAGGGGTAATTGTTTATAAACGTTGTCAAGATATGTTAATGTTGTCAAGAAGTGTTGTGAGCGTTACCAAGGTTTGTTAAGGGAAAAATGAGCATGGGAAATGCTGTCAGAGTTGAATTTATCGTGATCGAGTGAAGTTCGTTGTGTTGTCGTGTCGTGGAATTAGTGAGAAACGAATACGCGAAACGCGGTATTATATTCGATTTTGTGAGAGTGCAACGATATTGTATTTATCATACCGTTTTCTATAAACTTATAATATAACATTCCTACATAGATATTACTATAATTCCTTATTGTAGCTCTACCAGCTGTAACGTTTAATCAATCCAAAAGTTAATAGCACGTGCACAGCAAGGAATCTCCATAAATTCTCCACGTTGTTCAGAATTTCGATATAACCGTTCTAATCATTTGAATGACGAACAAGCTTTGCACAAGGTCTAGCGAAACATTCATTCGTCCGACGGATTCCACTGGAAATCTCGTTTTACTTGGATCATGAGCAAGATCTAAGTGGCGGCGCGAACGTCACGTCGCTATCATTGTTTACCATTCCGAGGACAAAAGACGGATTTTCATTATTCCGTTCACGCGACGCTTCTAATTTCCGAGGGCGAGGTCATATCCACTTGTTTCCTCTGATTCCGGACCAGCAGTTCGTTGGGGTCGTCAACGTCGACGGCGATGCCTCGACGCGCGTCATGATTAACCGCCTCGATGTTCCGTCGATGTTCCATGGAAAAAAGGGTCACGAAACGCGAATTAACCGACCGTTGTTATTCCGTTTGCATCGGTTCTTTGCCAGTCCCTTTTCTAAGCCCTACAAATCGATGGATTGCAATAGGCTTTCAGAGATGAATTCTTTTTCGTCCTTACGAACAAATTTTCTAGCTTATGTTCCTTGCCCCTTGAAAGCGTTGCGACGTTTCTACTAGTATTGAATTCACGCGCTAATAATTAAATTTGTAACTTTAACGTTAAATTTACTGCTCTTAGTAGCGTTCCATTTCATTATTTGTGAGAATTTCTCGGTCTGGTGAACAGAAAAATTTACTGTGTAATTGCCAAATGACCAAACGTGCTGGAATGGTGAAAACGTTTAGATAGCTTCAGGGAATTAAATAGTTTTCGTATTGCCATTGTATCAGTTTTTCAGAGATTGGTTGGGAAGAGCTGGACCTTTGGAGAGAACATGGAAATAAACTTATGGAAAATTGTGGATACATATGCAACAATAAAATTCGCAGTTAACGATATTCAGAATACGAGTACAATGTTTGTAGAAATATTGATGTCTACGAGACATACGTATGAGAGCGTAACTTTTCTTTTCGAATAACAATGTTTTAGTTTACATACCGTTTTTATTTAAATACATAAATAACATTTTGTATATTCGTCATATGCATACCGGAGAGTTTACACAATTTTCGACGCTATGTATTCAAAGCGTATCAAGAAATTTATTGAAATGCTGTGCAAACATGTTTCTATCTTTATTAATCGAATCCAAAGTTATTTTGTTTATACAGCGTATTTTAGGTTCGAGTCGGATATTTAATTTGCTTTGTATTTGTAACTTTTGTAAATACGATCTAACGATGTGTACCTATATCTGTTTTAAATAATTTTATATAATTTAGTTCCCGACACAGTTCAATTTAAAATTAATAATGCAGGAATATTTATAATTACGTATCATTCTAATACAGCGATGCATATATCGTCGTTGTTTATTAACTTATTTGCATATTTCATTATTGCTTATTAAAAGTAATTATATTCAGCTAAACTCAGTGAATCATGTGATCAACAAATTTGTGTGCGTGACGTTATAACGATTTATAATACTTTAACGATAATAAAATAAAACGTTTTTCTTTTTATGAAAATATGTTTGCGAAATATAGTAACGTCGTCGTATCGCACGCAAAATCTAACCAGGGAGTAAGAAAACTAAATACAAATAAAGAAATTGTATGCATTGTATGTTGATAATGTTTAATAAGGTCTCATATCCATAAATAAACAGGTATTTTTTTAGTTTCATCCATGTATAACACTCGTATCATTAAACTCGTGTATTGAGATTAATTATGGTAAAGCGTGTCTATTTGTCCTACATAAAATAAGATATATTTAGATTATATTTACAGGTTCATTTAAAACTTTTTTCTTGGAACTGCTTTCAGACAAACCTAGGTCAACATTCTAAAGTAGGGAAACAGGGTATAAAAACATTTCTCGCAAGTTTATATTCATAATTGTTGGCAATATTGGCTTAATTAACGTTTTAATCGCATTTATCGTTAGGAGTTTATTCAACTAAAAGAAGAAAAGCAACTGTTCGTTACTTATTAATATGATAATAAACTTGTCGCAAAGATGTATATTTAGTGTGAAAGCACGAAGAAAGAATAACGACATTAACGTAGAAACGTTTTAGAAGAATTTTGCTGTCATATGAATATTAAAGAAAATTGCTCGACTGCTCTATCGTTACAAATCCTTTAAATATCTTTCTGTAAAATCTTTTCGGAATTTTTGAAAGAATTATTGAAACGAATACAAGAAAAAGAATTTTTTTGTAAATTTATGACTAATCGGGGATTGCAAGTGGATTTCTTCGCTAAAATATTCGAAAGCATAAATGACGGCTGGCGTATTTAAATTTCTGATTATAACATTACATTGTGTTTTAACAATATTTTTCGTGAATTTATTCAAGCGGTAGAGGAAAAATTCTTTTTTGAAGATAAATTGGTGCATGTATTTATTTAAAATTATTTACAATGATCTGGACTAAAATTTGAAAATATGCGCGCTTTAATCATACATTTGTACAGCTTTAGTCTGCCACATTAATCTGCTGAAGTTAAATAGAAGCTACAGTAGGAGTTATACGTGTATAATGTTACGCAATTTGCACGACATGTTCCAAGACAACATACACACGTATCCTCTGATCTGAGCACAAGCACAAATGCTTTGCACATTGCATTATATTTGCAAATATTGAGATTGACCGATGACGCAGCGAGAGATGATAACATGCAGTTTGATTTATACTACTCGCCATACAATGTGAGCAAACAAATACGATCTCAGCACACCGTGCTCATCTCTTAATATGTACATTTCCTAACTAGATACGGACCAATTAACAGTTTCTTACGCAAAAGAGACGCTGCCTCGGCTATCGTGTTCTTTGTTATAAAATATGAGCTAAAGCTGTTTTAATATCGCAGTAATAAAACATGTTCGAATATGCGTCTCAAGATGTCTGATATTAAATTAATGTAAGTAATTAATGATATAATTAGGATTAATGAGAATGTTCTTATAATATTTCAAATGACTTATTTAAAGAAAATTGTTTACTTCGTGGTTGAGAATAAAATAACATTTCAGTTGCTTGAAGATTGCAATTATTATGAAAGAAAGGATTCGGTATCATTTGCTTGTTCTCTAAAAACCTCCTCTCTCATTTTTTGATACTATAGAAAGAAACGAGTATTTTGCACTATGTTGTTATTTCAATTAGAAGAAATTTATAAATCGAGATTATGCTAAGAAAGAAATGATCGTAGATGTAAAGTGAACAGAATTTCGTGGAAATTTCGAACAAATGCCGTAATAATCTACTTTGGATGTGAAATATATTTTCGTTAATAGAACCACGATTACTTGAATTCGGTGGAAAAGTAGGAAGTCAATTTGCAGAAGATTTCTTAACCTGTCGTTGTGAAGTTTATTAAAAATTGGAGTATAATAATCTGAAAATGAAAAGTACGCGAGGTAATAAAAAATAGAAATGGATTTCACAGCGCAAGATATGAAAAGAAAGCTTAGGTTCTGGAAGAAAGAAGAAATGGACTTTTCATGGCTAGAAATGGTAACATAAGCCTCAACGACTGGTGTCTAAAGGACCGTCAGATCTGAAACAGAAAATTTAATTAGATAATGAAACCTGAGCGAAAAGGAGAAAGAAGCAAGCGAAAATATAAAAGACGGGAAGTACAGAATGGAAACAAAAGGAAGCGAAAAGTGGGAGGATGGTAGAAAAGGATATTAGTAAAAGGGCAACGAAGGAAAGAAGATCAGGATAGAGGAAATAAAAGGGGAAGGAAAGGAAGACGGTAATACTTGTATTTGAGGATGAAGCGAATCCAATTTTAACATTTTAACGCACACAAACCCTGTAACTATGTTGATTTTGAATAATTTAAAAGAATATGACGAAGTAATTCAATAAGATATAGAACTTCGGAAAGAACTTTGAAATTATAAAAGAGCAACGAAAATCTTGTATAAATAATTTATTAAAACTAACGCAATTCAAATATCTGCAAATCTCTGCAAAGAATATTTTGCAATTGCGATAAAACAAAATTAATTTTGAAAAACAATAGATGTATCATTTGGTAATGATCATGGAAATTTGAAATAATTCTTTGTACTTTTTAAAGTTCTCGTCGCCTAAAATTCTTTCAAACGCGGATCCTCGACATTTCCAGCTGATCTATTTTCTAAGATATCCGTACGGTTATCCTACATCTCCGACAAAAATGGAGGAAGAAAGGATTCCTATATGCACCAAAAGACTTCGGAGCAAGTGCTAAGCTATCAGAAAGCATTTTCTCGTTTCCTCTATTTCCTAACCTGATCCTTTCGGAATAATGTTTCCATTTCTGACGTAATGTAAAGTCTGATTGCTTATCATACGCTCATAGCTACTGTTCCTCTAATCAGTCCTCTGACATTTGATAGCTACGTGACTCGAAGTCACTGCTTGTTGTCTGATACCTGAGGTGTTCAACCGTGTGCCTACGTTAAGGTTTCTATTCAGTTTCCACGAAAGCTGAACTACATTGAATTACTTATCGAGTTATGTTTAACGGCCCTTAAATTAGATCGCAATAATATTACGTTTAAGTAGCGTGAAGATTATGTAACTTCACTTTCTTAACGCAATTGTTACATTTATGCTGAATACTAATTAATTAGAGATAGCTCCCGCGTAATAATTTTCTCCCCTTTGTGAAATACGCTGTCATCGTTACTGCAACATGAATTGCAATATTACACGGTTCTTTTGGTCAGATTTTCGTTATTTCATTCATCGAGTAATAATCAATTATAGACGTATTCTCCGAAGCTTTAATAATCAATAATTGTCTATCAATGATAATAGGTAATTATTTCTATCATCAAAATAATATCTATTGACTGATATATGTATAATTTTCTGTTAATAATAACGTACATATAAAAATAACAAAATAGAATGGGGGCATCATTTAAATAAAATATTTGAAAACTGATTATTTAAATGATATTACACTGTTTGTTAAATATATTAAATATTATCTTGATATAATTCCGCGTTAGATTATTTAAATAAACAGACGATGTTTCTTGATATTACTTCACGAGATAGCAATCAAATGAAATAATGTTTCATTTTATTTGAAGAAATGTTTCCACAAATATAATATCACCATTTTCTATACTATCATGTCGACATAGTAAATTGCCTCACTCCAACTGTGTTAATTTCATTTTATTTTATTTTATTTCATTAATTTTCTACCAAAATCAAATACCATACATCGTACGAGGTAACAACAGTCAAAAAGGACAGCAATGTTCCAAGTAAAGATATTTGACGTTAACAAACCAAACTTTTATAATCGATGACTATAAATCTCATCGATCGAATCGTTTTTCAAACGAATCGCGCGAACTGAATGCCTAAAGCACAACCAATAGCTTGATGACCAGTCGTCTGCGAAAGTTTCTAATTAATTTTTATATGAAAGTGATTCAAAAGCGAGGTAACGAAAAAGAAAGGAAGTCCGAGAGAGAAAGGACAAGGGACAGAAAGAGAAAGATGCAGGAGCAGAATTCAGAGACGAGTAAGCGGCTATGGAAGCGAAGATCCTTCGTCCTCGGAAACTTTCTGCAGCTGCCAGTGCCAAGATATTATTCAACCGGCGCAGACCTTTATTAACTTCCAAATTAACCGTTGTATCGAAAATTATTCTCGGAAGAAAATGACGAAGCTTCTTGTAGCGATGCATTATACCGGTTGATAGACTAAGCCAAAATACATGACCCGCGATTATTCCCACTTCCGGCATCAGCCGGGTATCCGTAAAACAATTCCGGGCGAAGTACGTTTAATCCAGTTGACTAACTTTAATTATATTCTAGAAATTCTTCGCATTTTCGATGATTCGAAACAACGATTAGCCGGATTTACAAAGACTTAAACTTGCTTGCACACACATACACTTCAAACATTCGCAAATTGTTTTTGCGTTGTTTTTGTTTGTAGAAAGAAATAATATTAGCGTCGTGCGATAATATTGGTTAAAACACTGTCAAAGTAGTAACAAATTTTTCTGGATTGTCGAGAAATCGTATGTTTCTCATATAGTAAGAACCAGGACGAGTCGAGAAATCGTAGCTACCGTGTGGTAATTAGAAACTGCTGTTTCATAGAACGAAAGGGAGTTTAACTTTCGTGCAAATTGTTCTATTTATTCCCTTCCTTCAGCCTACTTGTTGTGCATGATTCTTGTCTTCGCATAATATCGAATACAATTATATCCTTGTCTCAGCTTGCAGAATGATATGACGCAATTCTGGACATTGTGGTAATAAACATAGTTCGTGTACAAAGATATCGTTCGAGGTTTATTTGTAAAGTTATAAGTTATTCGGTTTCTATACTCTTTGATCTCATAGTAAAATACTTAAAACGCGCACAGTTCCTTTATATCTTAAGGAAGTTCGCAGGAAAACACTGCCTTATTCCCAGTTTGCCGAGAAAACACGCGTAAGCTCATCCCCAAACAATCGATCGCCACGTCGTCAATTCGCTTTGATCTTAACCCAAGAAAAGCGATAAAACTACATATATATATAGAGAGAGAGAGGGAGGGGAGAGAGCAATATTTTTAATCGCTTAGCAGTATTTCGTAGAGATGTTAGCGCTAAACGTTATTCCCGTGCGATGATTAAGACCCAAGATCCGGCGAACAAATATTCTGATATTCAACGATCAAGAGCATTCTATCCTAAACTTTGTCTGAACAACGTTTAATCGTTACCATCGTTATCCAAGTTCTAGCTTTGTAAAGACAATGTTTGAAATTTATGGCGGCAGTTCGTATAGCTAGCATGAAAATTGCCAGAACTGAAGGTAATATTGCTCAAACGTTAGGAGCTTACTGTTGTACGGAAGACTTACTTTACTTAAATAAGAAGGTAAATGAACGCGAAGAAATATTATGCAGCAAATAGTAATTAAAGACGAGTATCTACTTAGATATTGTTACGTATCTCGAGAAAGAGAATTAGCGCAAAGTTAATTTTTAACTTGAGAATGCTTTGTGAAAAAATCCATTTATTCGTTTGCTCATACAACTTGTAATACGACTTACGCCAGAGCAGACCTACAACTTTTTCACTTTATTCTCGCAATTGTGATAGTTACATTGTCGTTTTCTACTGCATTACAAAAGAAAAATATAATACGTTTATAATAATAAATGGCATGTCCCTTATTACCCTTAATAACAAATGTATTGATATAATACATTTCTTTCTATTATATATTCCTATCAAATTCAAATATTTAGCAATTAAAGTATTTAGGCACGCGTAACATAAATCCACATCGATTTAACGACAGGGCATTAAGAAAACCGAGATCATATCACGTGAGGCACCTTTATCCATATTTCGTCCTTTACCATCTTGATAATCGGGCTCGTTATTGGCTAAAGAATGGGTCACTTGTTTCTTTCCCATGAGGTAACTTCGATTCGAAAAAAGAAAGGCGAGGTTACACGGGTGGACGAGGAATAGACAATCGAATAGAGGAGAAAAGACAAATAGAAAGAAAAGAAGTAACGGAACACTGGTACGAACAAAATCCTAACGCTCTGGAACTAAATTAAAGAGAACGGAAACCTTTTCTCGTTTGACCTAGGAAGACATCAAAGCCGAAATTGTTCAACTTGTCCCTAGAAGCGCTGGAGATTCACACTACACTGTTCTTTCACACTACACTCGATCGCTCGGTTTCTTTTTTAACCCATGTAATTTCGTTCGGTTTCACCGTTCGAACCATTTTATTTCGTTACGTAATTTACGTAATTTCGTCGCGCGGCGAAACATATTATCCGGTAATTCGTTTTTTCCTCGAATCGACGGGAAAAGAGAGAAGAAAGAAGAGCGAGCATTACCGTTGGACAGTGGCCGATTGCGAATTTAGATTAAGCGAAGTGAAAAAGGGACGCGGTCGCGGCCGAAACTTCCTACTCAAGCAGTAAATAAAAGAGTGAGCCAAGGATTTTGTAGCTAGTCGAATATTCGATTCAGTCGTCGGGGAAATAAAACGCAACGACAGAAACAGACGAAATTACCATCGAAGAATCGTTAATGAATTTTTTCTCTATTTCTACGCTTGCTACCGGACCGGTTACGAACATCCAGTAAAGCACGGCTTAAAATAATGCCGTCGTTAAAACTGACAATCGATTTCTTTCGTCCTTTTCAATCGTTGGCCAGCAAGCGCGATAACAAAAGAAAATGACAATCGAGTCGTTTGCGATGTAGAAGGTGCGAAAAAAGCGACGAACGTTGATGAAAATTCGCACCTTTTCCGGTTAATCGATTTTAATATCTATTTGATATATTTAATATGTATGTCCAATTAAGTACCCATCTTGTAAAAAAAAAAAAATACTAACGATTTTATAAATCTACTTAGATAAATTATACACGCAGGGATGAGCAGCTGCAGTTGGAACATTATTTTGGATATCTTGTCTACAAATGAAAATAAAACTAATCTTCTATTGGTTAAGGCATGATCTAACTATATCGAGGAATATACGTTTGAATGGTTTAGTGATAACAAATTGCTTGTACCTGCATTTTGTCGATAATCATGGTTATGCATATTCAAAGCGCATATTCTGTCAGCGACACGTACTTTGTTGCTATGGTTATTATGGGCGACATTTGACTCGAGATATTTAATTTACGTGTTAAAATCTTCAATAGTCGACATAATCCATCGCCATGCACTGGTCAACGCAAACTATTTTCAATACAATGTATTTTACGCGAGGATGTTAATTTTGAAAAGAGTTAATGTAAAACAGATGTTTATTATATACGATACTTAAGAAAATATCGTATAAAAATATTTTTAATCTAGGAATTTTCATTGCAAATGTAGGGTGTAGAAACGTAGAATGTTTGAGATTAAATTCGTTGTATCGAATAATAAAATAATTCTACGAATTAACGATAGATTCCGATTTCTATATAATAATGAAAATATCATCATTTAATTAGAGACGAGAATTATTCCATTGTTCGTGATAGACGTTTATGATCATCGTATAAATGCTTCACGATAAAATCGAAAACATACATTATCCTAATGTTTGAATAACAATTCTCAACGGGATAATGAATCATGAGATCATAATCGTAAGGTTTGGTTAAACATTTTAGCAACAACCAGTGGACTTAATTAGATCTGATGGGGATGTGAAACGTGGCTAGCTATGACCACGCTAAAGTCACTTCTGTTTTCTACCTATCTCATAATCCTGGTAAACTTCGCGCGCATGATGTATCTTGTTAAAACTTTCCATGTGCACGCTTAACTTCCGGAAATTCCACGGTATTATATAGTACGACAATAATGTACCGAAGAATAAATTTACTAATCAATTTGCGTGTATATGTTTATCACTTGGAGTGTATAGTCGCGTGTGAAAAACACGTCATACATGTATTAATGCGTACGATAGTAACATTTACGATAGAGAGAGAGTCATCTGTTGCTAGTATACATCCTATTCGGATAAACTGTACTCTCGAATTCAATTACATACTTGTTTAATGAAAAATTATAATTCCTGTCATTTTATCGTTGGAATTATCGTATTTCACACGTTAATGTATTTAATCTCTAATAGCGGTTATAAATTTTATTTATTCCCTCGCATTTATTAATGGATAGGATAACACGCTTCACTACCAAGATTTAATAAACGAGGTAACTGCGTTGTGTACACGCATGTACACGTATAGTATGCAGATAGGTAGTTTCTGGGTAGATCTGTATATATGCATTGTAAATGTTAAAGCCCGAGTGTCCTAACGTAGCGCAACGTGTAATTCTCCGTGTTTGTTGAACCCTGTGTACTTTTTCTTCTTCGTTTCGTTCGAAAATATTCCTAAAATATATAGAATTATATTATCGTATCACGTGTACAAAATTTTCCATGTCATCATCAAGGAAACGTTCCAATTTCCTATAAACGATCACAGAATCTTTCTTCATTTTCAACCGTGTTCATTACGCTTATACGTAAACAATCGCGAATAAGAAGTGAAATGACGACCGTCAATCTCTCGCAAAGCTGTCACGTGACAAAAGATTGCCACGACAAAGGAAGGTGGCTAGGAAGAAGTTAAGAAAGAGGTAAAATCGATAGAAAGTTTGGAGCACAATGGCGAAGAACAAGCAGCAGCGAGTGCGTTAGATTGTGCAGCGATATTACGAGCTGCAGAGCCACCATTAGGCTCGCCGTAGGAACATTCTGTCTGCTGGATAAGAGGAAAATCGGTACCTGCCACGAGTGTGAAGCCGAACCAGAACGAGAACAGTGTGAGGGAAAGGAAGACAGAGACAAGGAGTAACAGAACAGGTTTCGAACAGATTGAACCGAGCTACCAACCGATTACAGCCATGGAAATTCTTAGCAAGAAGAAAGGAATAATTATCCTGTAATTATCGCAGCAGGTCTCATCGTGCTCGCGTGAAACGCCTTTCAATTCTGGCGCGTATTCATACGGAAGGTGGTGAGTCGAGTAAATGGAATAATAGCCGGTCTTGTCGTGGCTCAGAGAACTCTCGTTTCCTGTTAATTTTGCCAAACTACCAGTTACGAATATTACTCCACATATTATGTAAATGATAATCTTACTAAGGAAATATTCCCTCGTGTTACGTTCTTTCCGATCTGTCTCATTTTCAATTACCACGAGAAACGATACTGTCTTGTTGTTTCTTTCCCTTTTTCATAAAAAGTTCTGGAAAATATTTCATTGCACAGGGATCTCATCCGCTAACATCTTAGCGATCTCCTTCGATGAATTGATAGCACTACCGGTTCCGAGGAAAGTATCAAAATCTTTAATCATATTCAATGTTCGACCAGCATAATCGAATAACTCTGGCCGATTCAACGATTCAGTCGAGGAATTCTTTAATAAGGAATTCGTTAATAAGCGTTCCAGGACTGCCATTCGGTTCAAACCACGGGCCCCTCCACAAGCGTTTTTCAACATCGGAAGCAATCATACCTTAAATGCTCTCGTTAACCACAACAGCAGCAGCATTCATAGCACTGACACTGCGGTGTCATTTCAGCCAACCTGGTGCGTGGTTGTCATTGCGGTTTGCAAGCGCCATTCTGGTATCATCAGTAACAACGCCTCGAAATATCCACTGAACCTGACAAGTGTCGGCATATAGGCGAATTTAGCTGAACAGATCCAAGTGAAGGTTGCGGTAGGTCTTCGTCAATCATCCTTCCGTATCTACGCACTGGAGCTCGCTGATGAAATTCCCTATGTTTTGTCACTCGCTCGCTGACGTTTTACGAACATTACCTCTTCCTGAACGACCTCGTTCTCTTCTTATATGCGGAACAGTCGAATGCGTTCGGTAACCAGCTGCGCTTGTCGTTACGGTAGAATTCCATTTATCTGAACTTGTCGAGAAACAAACAGTTTATCTAGTTGGCATTCATATAAGAGGAGTTTACGTTCAGATAAGCGAATTCAATCAGCAAGGGTTCGGTTAATCGGACATCGATTAAAATTTCGTTGCAGTAAGTGGAGTTCTACTGTATAATTGTGTTACTGCTGTTTCTATTCTATTTATTCCGAAATATCTTCGTGATAATAACGGTAGCAAGTTATAGTGCATTGGAAATCAATTTTTAAAGAGTGGATTAATTTCAACTCACTGTACGAGCAATTAATACAGTGATAAAATACACACGCGTTATTGACGGTTCTGATATATATATATATATATAGTTAAAGAGGAAGTTGACACTCGATACAGATCCTCTTGTATATTGACATAGATCATAGCAAATGCTACTAGAACGGCCCGGCGAGATCATAAATTGTGGCGAAACGATCACTCGAATCGATGATTTCTGACAACGATAACTCACATCAAACAATCGGTCACCATGCATTCTGTCAAAACGATTTGAATCACATCACTTTAGCGATGTGAGAGCTTCCTTCTTCTTATGACATATGTACATCCCATAACGTGCCCTGTCCGCTTATCATGATATATTTTCTGCTTCACCGTGATTTATGATTTATATATTACACTGTACGCCCACGTATACCAATACATTTAGCCTGTTCTTCGAATTGTCGCAAACTACGAAAGAATATAAAAAACGTAATTATTCACTGAAACATTATTAATACCGAAGAGAAGCATTACATTAGCGATGAATAGAGGATTGAATTAAAAACTTGGAAAAGCGATGTGGTAAATTTTTAAACATGCAATCACATTCAGTTCAAAACTGGAACGCGCATTATTTATTCACGGTGAAGTATGATTCATGACTCCCCTGTTGGTGTTGGTTAATCTGAAAGAATTTGTATTTGGTAGACTGCGCGAACCCACGAATGAAATTTCTCAAAGCTTTCAAAATGAATTTTTAACCGAATGCATAGACAGAGTTTAAACTACTTTAAATTTTACAAGGATTCGCTTGATCATATTATATCCTACGGTTCGCTTTCCTATAGCTATAATCAGATTTCCATCAAAAGATTTTTAATACCGTGCAATAATGTCAGTGATATTATATGCAGGTCTTGTATATCGGTACTCGTAACAACCTTCTTACATTTCTCGATAAAAATATTTCAAAAAGACAAATATTTCAACGAATTACGAAATAGAGCAAATTTTGTTTAATTTTGCTGAATAATATCTATTCCTACAGCTCCATGGTAATATTAACTATTATTTAGAATAAGATTAACGCTAGGAATTTCATAATTAATCGGTGTCTTTGTTCGATCTCTTTGGCAAACAACACTTTGATCGTGCTATTTCGTGTTAGATCGTGTTGTACCCAGTAATTATCGTAATAAAATTTTGAAATTTCCTTTGAACTCAAATTTCGTAGAACACGCAATCTCCTACTCTTTGAGCGTGATAAACAGTCTAGGAGATTTCCTATCGGTGAGTAAAGACATAAACAAATGATTTCTAACATTTCTCGTTTTAGTTTGTATGTTTTTTGTTTGATTACAATATTTCCTGTTTACTTGCTAAATGCAAAAGAAATAATCAAATGTTTCAATAAGTTTTTTTCGATATTTAAGAATGAGGTTTATAGTTTTTTGCATAAATATAACGTTATAGTTGTCACAAATTGTTTATTTCGATATAGTTATTCAATCGTGTTTACAATTGGAAAGGGAAATTTTCGTGTCGAAGAAACACGAAAATATTTTATGTTTTGTATTATTCTTTTAAAAAAACGTCTTTCACTATACGTAGACTGCCGATGAGCCTGCTATGCTTCCATCAGACAAATATATCATAATCAATGTCAAACAATTATCCTCGTCAAAGCATTTCTGTATCGGTATTTCGAACTCAAATCATTTTTAGATGGATAAGCTCAGTACTGTTTAATGCATAAGTCCTTCAATTAATAATACTAGTAATTTCAAATTTCAAAGGTCTAGTACGCGTATTAAAATTTCACGAAAAAAAAAAAAAAAAAACGGAGGCAGTTTATACGTAGATTTATAAAAGACTTCATTATTTTAAAAATTTCAACATATTTTTAAAATCCGTAATCTACTTATTATTTCTAGTAATTTCAGAACATGCTGCATTTTAATAAAATTATCAATGCCAGACTAAACGCGCTACACCACACGCAGAATGTAAAATTTGTCGTAATCTTTCATCGCATTATCCTACTGGATTCTCGTATTTCGTTAACGATAATGATCCAGCGAACATCAGTATCTTTAATGGTCAGATAGGTAGAGAACTTGCAGGCGATATCTCACCGTGCTTCTGCCAACCGACCGCTGAAATGTAACATAAGGTTACACTCGATTCGCCGTTCCTGTAAACAGCTTTACGATCCAGCTGCTACTCGTAGAAAGAACAGCAGACGAGCTTCCGGTGATACACAGTACCATTATTTACGGATACGGACCAAGTCCGATAAACGATAGAATGTGGAAAAAAATAATCTCTCGCCTATCTCACACATTGCAAATCGACTATATATACGTTTTAGTGATCACAGCAGCTTCGATGACAACGCCTGCGACTTCCTGCGACGTTTCAAATTCTCCGATGCCTCTGTTCTCGACTGGAAATAGAACGAACATTATTGGATACCGTCGACCTTTTTACGTAGTGGATATCATGACATTTCTGAATTTATCTGGATATTTTTAACTTTATCTGAAATTTGTCATGATATTTTTTAATTCTCTTGGAAGTACGAGATATGTTATATAAAGTATAAAGTTTCATAAAAAACTTTGGGATTATTATTTCATCTGGAATATTGAGATCCGAGGAATCTATATATAATATATATCTCGTCTATAGGATTCTATATATAATAAAACTATAGGACATGTATATATAATAAAAATCTCATTTAGACGATTAAGGTTTCTTTTTGTAATTTGCATTAACGTAACAAACGGTTGTCTACCTTCGTCGTTAATGCACGATTCTAATTGTGAATTGCGAAATCGATCAATTATTATTATTAAGAATTAAAAGAAGCACGAAAAACCTAGGAGTTTTGTCCCTCGCACGTAGTTCGATCGAATGCACAGGACAGAAATGTAAAATTCGACAGTCGTTGTGGCATCGGAAGATGGCGAAGAGTAATTGTCACGAGGTGTTACAAAACCACGAAATGGGGAATGACAACTGTAATAGCAGCGGTAGAAGTTAGAGGAACAAGAGAGAGAATGGCACGCGCCCTAGTAATCGCTCAACAGTAAGCATTGAATTTCTGTTCCTCTTTCGCTGGTAACCACCCCTTCTACCGCAGTCATTCAGGCGCCTTGTGTTGAATTCTATGTGTCCTTGAAAGGCGTCTCGTTATATTCTTCGAATTGTACTCAGTCATCCTGCGCGGCGAACAATTTCGCGTTGCTGTCGTCTGTCATTTGGAATCCACCTCAGATGGATGCTCGAGTGCTCCTGAAATGCGCTCCACGATCCTCCTTTCGGTGTCTGTCTTTTACGTACGAACAGACATTCTTGACAACGAGGTATTTAACACTTTTCGCCTCTAAAGTTTTGACATTAATTATTCTTATCGTAGAATTCAAAGAATGAATATCGTTGACAATTATTTGCAAGATTGCGTTTATATACACTGCATATAAAACACTAGATTGTATATAAAATCAGTTTGTTCTATCAATACTGTCTGTTTTTCATAAAAACGTTAATAATCTTCGTAATGTTTAAAAATATTCATTTACACGCTTTAATTATTTATTTCTGCCCCTATCTTGGACATATTTTTGGAATTATTTGCTTAACAAATTTCGTGCGTTAATCTAAATCAAAAATTTCTTTCGGTCCAGTAAAATCCAGTTAAACTGGTTTTGTCACATTTATAGATAGGTGATGAGTGGAATGTTGGAGCACATGTCAAAGCTGTCAATGAAACCTTCGTGTTAAAGCAATCGCTTATATTTGAAATTTAATCAAATATGCCAGATTTCGATGCAGTTGGAACGTGTTGCCTGTGCATTTCGTACGGCTTTTTTCGAAGCAGAAGGAGAATCTTTAGTTTGACCGCTATAACATTATTCGAGGATTAATTTCATACGTTCTAAAACATTCCAACTCTTCTACATCGTATACATGTACATATAAGTGCTGTTTAATTTATTAGGGTCTTCCGAAAAGTTTCTTTCGTTTTGTAAGGAAATAATGGACGCACAACATTTTCCGTTTTACATTATTTTACGTATGATTCATTCTGTTTTATCAAGATAAAGATCACAACGTTCGTCAGATTAGGTTTCGTGTTTGTATAAAGATGCGTCGTTGTAAAAGACGCGTCTGTAAAGGAAAGACACTTTTCAGACAACCCAATAAATACATTTGTAGAGGATACTATGTATATGTTATTTGCAAACTACTTCGAAGAAGATATAAAACACAAATTATTTTTATTTAAAAGTACAATAATTTCGGTGAAATATTTTTAAGCCGCGTACTACTTTCGTTTTAGAAATCCTTTATCCTTAAACGTTTCGTTTCGTTTTTATTTAAGGGTAAATTACGAGACACTTACGTATATGAAAATTAAAACTGGCCTAACACCGATGTTGATTTAACTTTAATTGTAACGTGCCAGTTTGTCATAAGCACTTAAGTATGACATTCGCATAATTTTCTTGAGAACTCGCGGAACAATATCCATTCATTTGTGTAACGATGCAGCGAAGAAATTTAAGAGGCACTCAGAATACCTCAACTACGCATTCTCGAGTATTATTTATTACAAGGATCGCTTAAAACGTGCTGCTCGAGCGCTGCTTTTCCGAGGATATTGAAAGAGATCGCGATTTCGTAACCCCGACACCATATGGCACGAATGAAAAGTGCGAAGAAAGTATTAAAGAATATCTTCTGCAGGATTGGGCCAAAATGACGGCACGTTACCGCGAAAGAAATGACACGCTCAACTTTTTACCTAAAACATAACCACCGTTCACCATTACTTGCGAAACCGTCGATAAAGCTTCCTGTTAATATTTTAGATCAATAACTTGCAAGCACCTGTGAACTTTATGATTAAATTGATTATGAAATTAAATTATTCAGTTACGATTAAATTTCAAAATGTTTCAATAAGATTCATTGTTTGATTGCAAACGTTTATGCATTTATGGAAAATTTAATGACGCAAAACAAATACCTGAATTTTATCCCTTCAATTACGTTCGTAAAAATAGTAACTTTCATAAACAACCAGAGTTTATACAAAGCTATTTTGCAAAGTTTAAAGCATAGTAAAGAAATATACGTTGCATGAAGTTAAATTTTAAATGAGCTATATTATCCTTCAACTTTAAAAGCGTTATCTTATAATGCTTGTCTGGTTATAAGTTAGGAAATGTTTCATAAACGTTGTCTGCTTATTTAGTAGCTCTTAAGATTTACGAATAATGTTAACTGCGCCATATAACATTGACATCTTCGCCATTTTTTCCGATTAAATTGCTATTATATCCGAAAATAAATATGTCAAATATTAAGGTGAAAAGTATCGGAACTAAGCAATTTTTGTCAAAATTTCAACGATTCGCTTAATAGCGATATTTTCCAATATTTAACCAAGCTAGTGTTTGATGTATGTGCCTATTTATAATTGGATTGGAACGAACAATATCTTACGACGTAGAATAAATCACCTTATCCACGTAACAAATTGAGCCGATATAACACATTAATCCTTTTATGAATGTAAAAGGAAAACGCTTTATTGCTGTAATTTGTTTTACAAGAACTAATGCAATTTAATCTACCATTAAGCGCAAGCATTCTGTCAAATGTATAACAAATTGTTCGTTATCTGCGTTTCAATTTCACATTACGTGTTATTTCATACCATGGGAAGAAATTATTATTTAAAAGCAATTAAAGTTATTATCAAAACCATGTATGTATACTTCATAAAATAAATTAATAGAGAAATTACATTGGCAAGAACATCAATAAGTTAATAAAAATAACTAACTGAATAAAAATAAAGCGTGATAGATATAATGTCGTTAAAGGATGATAAATATTTGCAGGACCATCTCTCTTTAAAAAAATGTTCCGAACGTTTAACTTAAATAAGAATATTTAGTCACACTCTTTTGTCGTATAGTTTTAGTACTTGCATATTAAAACAAGCACGCGATTTCAAAGGATACGATTTTAGTAACTTTGTCGCGATAAACTCCTTTATCCTTTAAAGAGTATGTTTACAATTAAGTAATTTCTCTTTGATATTATAAACAAAATGAAGCGAAAATTGCGGCAGCATTAGTCATAACAATGATAAAAAATTAATAATATTATAATTGTTTTGAAAAAATTACTTCGAAATACGATATAAAGAATTCCAAGAATGATTAAACTTTCACCGGGGAACAAATCTAAGAAGATGCAATCAAATACTTGCTACTAGTTACGAGAAGCCATAAAACGATAGGGGAAATAGAATAACCGCGCGCAACGAGCCCTTTTTACGATCCAGCTAAGATTCCGGCGTTTTATCTGAGAACGACAAAGGTGCTATGTTTTCCGTATAAAATACGGCCACATCGATCCTTTGTCACGTAGTTATTGAGAAAATGGATCGTAAATTTCATCGATCACAAATGTCGTAACCCATGCGTGATATTTAATACAGTATGAAAGTTAAATCCCCATCAACATAATAAATAGTTCTTGAATGACGATTGGATAAAGAGTCTTCTCTATAATATGGAATTAAATATGTTGCTAATCGTTAGCAATGAAAGCAATGGAAGTGAGTAGAGAAGTGTTGAAGTAATTACTTCAAGAAGAAGTCTACACCTTTTTATTTTGTACATCCGTGACCTGGAGATCGCTGTTACGAAGAAAATAGGATTTAGTGAAACAAAAAATTGTAAATAAGGAGAGGTACATATTATTGTGCCCTTGGATATAAATTATGTTTTGGGTTACGAGGTCTAGAAACAAAAGAGCTATAAGTATATTTCTATTGCTGTTTCTTGTAGTCTTCAGCTAGAACTACAAGGTTAACTTTTTGGTAATGTTCTTTGCTATAAATATACGAACGTGCTCCCTATCATGGCTTCTTCTATTGTATTGTAACGCTGCAAGAGTGAGGATCTGGACCAGCATACACTATACACTATACTTGTACTTATACATTACACTTATACTTTTATTTATTTCAATATATTTTTCTATTACAAATTCATCCACTCGTTTCTCTGTCAGTCAACCTCAACGAGAAGTATAACAGATAATGGATAAATAATAAATCGAAGATAATAACAATCCTGTAAATCGATTAACTATTTGAATCTGTATGAAATTCGACGAAACAAAATTGTATCGCGTTTTAAGCAGACAATGCCAACTAGGTTGAAGGTAAGAAAGCGGATTAGTTTAATCACTCATTCGAAGATAGTATTTGTCCGATGAATACTTGTGATTTCGACCTCGTAGCGCGAACGTACAAATCTCCTGTCACCGAGATAGTCTCTTAGCGGTGTTTGCCAAGGACTTGGCCAGTCGACTGTACGAATTGGGATTTCCCGAGATTTCAACAAATTGTTGCAT